TTTATCATTACGAATTAGTATTTCTGATTTAGAGGTAAACTTTGCTATTACTAATCTCTGTTCAATAACTTGTTCCTGTTTTCTGCAAAAATCAAAGTTTCATTGTTCTTGGCCAATGAATCTAATTCATTAAAGAACACAATGAGAATAAACCCTATTGATTACAGGACTGCTGAGACTGTAGAGAGTAATTGAATTCCATTGTTAAGATAAAATAAACAAAAATTGGAATAAAAGGAATGAAATAATACATGTTAAGATAAAGAATAGCATTAAACCGAACTATAGCAATAACACATATTTCTGGATAGGGAAATTATCCAAAATATTTTTTCTCTTATCAGTTTTGTTCAATTTCCTGTTGTCTCCAGAAATTCTCAAACAGCATTTTAGAGGAACATTGAACATAGTGTTGTTAATTTAATAATATTATACAATAGCTTTCACTGTATAATTTTGCTTTTAGCAGTCAGCAACCTGCCTTCAATAGATTCAGGATGGAAGGAACAGCGGAACGTTCCAATGGGGCTTTTTCTATAGCAGTGGTGCTGTCACCATTAGAGGGGTTTTCTATGAATGAAGGAAAATTATATGTGTCCCAGGATAATGTTATAAAAATCCAATCTGGGTTGATCACTGGGACCAGAAGCTTTTTTATGTTTCAGAAACTTCAGAAGATTGCTCTAGTGACATCACAACATTGGTAGACAGGCCTCCTATTGCAAAGCAGATAGTCACAATGTCACTCGGAAGCACATTTGGTGAAAACGAAATGTACAGAATTCAAGATGAGTTTTTTAGAACCATTTTGGTGTCGTGGTTGATATTTTGACCTAGAAACCTAGAGACTGTGAGACTAGTCCTGCTTTAGCCATGAAAGCTGATAGAGTAACATTGGGCCAATCATCTCTCAACCCTGAAACACCTGACAGGATTGTTGTTATGGGGAAAATAGGAAGAAGGAGTATTATATATGTTTGCTGCCTTAAGTTATTTATTAAAAAAATAATACAAGTGGGATAAAAGTCTAATAAATAAATATTCCCATACCTTTTTACATTGTGCAATTATACAATGAAAAACACTCTGAAAGACAGATTACAGGTATTAAATATATTCTTCTGACCTTTCTAATTCACTGAAGTATTTTAGGGTAGATATAATTTAAGCATTTATGCATAGTTACACTTTAAAGTCATTCTAAAATAATTTACTGAGTTCTTGTATCTGCCTACAGTACATTGAAATGACTTCCTTAAGTAGCTATGTGACCTGTAGGAAGCTCATCATAAGTGTTGTAGGGGATTTGTAAAATGGAGCTTAGGAGCTTTGTTAGCTTTAATACACTGGGCAAAAATTCCACTTGCCTAAAGCAGGCACAATGCTTGTCATACATATTTTAGTTCTACATGGGGCTACCCTTGAAAAGTGTTCGGAACTACAGTTGGTCCAGAACGCAGCCGCGCGAGCTGTCGTGGATGCACCTAGATACACCCACATTACACCAATTCTCTGCGAGCTGCATTGGCTCCCTATTGGTCTCCGGTCACAATTCAAGGTGTTGGTTATTACCATACATGGCTCAGGGCCAGGTTATCTTCGAGATCGCCTTCTGCCACATAGCTCCCAGTGACCGGTAAGATCCCACAGAGTTGGTCTCCTCCGGGTCCCATCAGCTAAACAATGCCAGCTGGCGGGCCTGCAGGGGAGAGCCTTCTTTGTGTCTGCCCCAGCTCTCTGGAACCAGTTACTTCCTGAGGTCCGGACCATCCCCACCCTATTGGCCTTCCGAAAAGCGGTGAAGACCTGGCTTTTCCGGCAGGCCTGGGGCCGTTGATCTTGAAGCTCTGGTGATCTGGTGAGATCCGGCCATGAATGGCGTGAATGAGTTTTTAATGTTTTTAATTTTTAAATGTTTTTTTTATAATGATTTTTAAAAATGTATTGTGAGCCACCCTGAGACTTTGGAGAGGGGCAGCATATAAATTGAATTAATTAAATTAAATTAAATTAATTTAGAATTGTGCTTACAGAAGAATCAACAATTGCAGGGGCCCCTTCCATCTTTTAGTTCTTTCCTTGTTTTAGACACTAGTTAATACAGGTTTTTCTAGTTCCTCCAGGGAGGCTAATTGTCATAACGGTGTTGTAGTTTTACATTCTAGACATGATAGTTATCATTTGACCATTATACTATGGAACTTAAATGCATTTAACAATTTCTGAATCTTTTTCAGAAGAACAGATAAAAATATGCTGAGATACAGTACTTTTTGTGTGCACATATACAATACTGATATGCATATTTTGTCATCTTTTCTTCTCTATTAAGATATATTTTACTATTTCCTGAGGATAGGGCAAGAAATGGCTGTTAAGATAGTTAAAATGACGCATTTGTGTTAACTATTATTGTGTTTTGATGAATCCATATAAAGTAAAATATTATAGTTCCTTTGGAACAAGAAAAGGCTGAATAAAGGTTTTGGTTTAAAAAAAATAAATTATAGTAGACACAAAGTGTTCAGGAAAAATTGTTAGGTTAAAGTTGTTAAATCTGAACAAACTATAGAAAAGTAGGAATTAAATACTATGACTAATCCTTAAAAGTGCACAGGGTCTCTCTGGTTGAAAGATTTTGTCTGAATGGAAGTGCTACTGCTTTTAGAGGATGTGGCTGTGTAGAATTAGGATTAAGAATGATGGATAAACATAAAACAAATCAAAAAAATACCTCTGTGACTTATGCAGGAGCTGGAAGAAAATGGCAAGTAGAACATTAGATTCATTCAATTTAAAGTGAATTAATTTAAAGTAAACTTAAATGGAAAATGCTGCCCTGTAAAATACATTTATGCTTTCAAAAAGCCTTGGTATGCCATAATGGAATAGCACTGTATCTGTATAACCAAGATAATGGTACTCAAGGATAGATTTTAATTTGATTGCAGTCAAGAAGAATTAAAGCTTAGCTGGATTAATTGCTTCCCCCCCCAGGCATTTTTAATGAGAACAATCTTGGGATAGATAAATAAAGCATTCCATGTATTATTACATCCTAATCAGGAAGATGAAGTTCTATGTCTCAAATGATTTCATAGGATAGGGTCACTCTAAACTATGAGTCATGATGGGGGAAGATTGACAGAATAAAGAGAACAAATACGCTGTTTTTGGGAAAGAAGACCCTCTCCTAGGAAAGTGTTAAAATGACATAACAGTAGGAACTGAAGATTATAAAGGAATAATTGAAGATCCAGTGTGGTGTAGTGACTAAAGGGAATGGGATAGGAATGGGAGTAGGAATGGGGAGAGTCAAATTCTGGTGCATTCCTAGTTATGGAAATTATTGTTTCTTAGTCAACCTATCTAACAGGTTGTTTGGGGGAGAAAAAGGCCCTTGTGATGCACTTTGATATAACTTGCTTATTTATTTATGTTTATCCCTTTGCATCCCTTTTGACTCATGGTGACCACTTGCTAGCTTGTTCGGAAATGACTTGCCATTGCCTCCTTCCTAGGGTTGAGAGAGACCCAAGGTTATTGAGCTGATTTTGTGCCTAAGGTACAGCTCGAATTTATAGTCTCCTGCTTTATAGCTTGGGGTCTTAAACAGCTACATGAAACTGGTGCTGTATATGCATTTATTAAATCCAAACAACACTAACAGGAACAAAACTATTAAAAAATTCTCCAAAGTAAAACTATTACCCAAAAATAAGTTAACCAGTGTTAAAAGAGATTTTTACTAACAATATTAGTATTAAACATTTCCTGTGGAAGTAGACAGGATCTTCTGTGGTATAAATTTTGGCCATGTGTAGATTGTGATAAAAGGAATGTGGTGGCTCAGTGGCTAAGATACTGAACTTGACGATCAGAAGTTTCGCAGTTCAGCAGTTTGAAACCCTACAGCACGTAATGGAGTGAGCTCCCGTTACTTGTCCCAGCTTCTGCCAATCTAGCAGTTTGAAAGCACATAAAAAATGCAAGTAGAAAAATAGGGACCACTTTGGTGGGAAGGTAACAGCACTCGTGCGCCTTCGGCATTTAGTCATACTGGCCATATGACCACTGAGACATCTTCGGACAGCGCTGGGTCTTAGACTTTGAAATGGAGATGAGCACCACTCTAGAGCCAGAAACGACTAGTATACTGTACATGTGCAGGGGAACCTTTACCTTTAGCTTAGGTTGCGATACATTATCTACCTGGCTGGTGAAAGCTGTCATGGAGATTACTGGAGGCTGGGGTTCATCCTTGAAGGAAAGACATTCACATCCTGCTCTGAAAGAGGTGATGGTACACTCCTTTCTCAAGATTGCTCAATCTGGCTATTTTAAACCAGTGGTGAAATGTAAAATTTGTTGCTACCGGTTCTGTGAGCGTGGCTTGGTGGGGCGTGGCTTGGTGGGGGAGTCATGTGACTGGGTAGGCGTGGCCAACTTAAAAAAAACTTTTTAAAAGCATTTTTTTACTACTGTTTGGGTGAATAGGTAGTAAAAAAATACTTTAAAAAAGTAAAAAAAAGGTTCTGATGATCACAGCGGTGCCGTGCGATCATCGGAACATTTTTTTTTTACTTTTTAAAAGCATGTTTAAACTACCTATTCACCAGAACCGGTAGTAAAAAAATGTTTTAAAAAAGTAAAAAAAAGGTTCCGATGATCGCGTGGCACAGCTGTGATCGTCAGAACCTTTTTTTTTATTTTTTAAAAGCATTTTTTTACTACCAGTTCTGACGAATAGGTAGTAAAAAAACGCTTTAAAAAAAAAAGTTCCGATGATCGCACAGCACATCTGATTGTCAATCAGTCAATTGTCAATCAGCTGTGCTGTGGGATCCTTGGAACCTTTTTTTTTCGTTTTGAAAGCATTTTTTTACTACCGGTTCCGGCGAATAGGTAATAAAAAATGCTTTAAAAAAATTAAAAAAAGGTTCCAACAATTGCGCGGCGCAGCTGTGACGAGTGATCATCGGAACCTCTTTTTTTTTTACTGTTTAAAAGCATTTTTTTACTACCAGTTCACTCGAACCGGTAGTTTTTATCACTACCGGTTTGCCCGAACTGGAGTGAACCGGTAGCATTTCACCCGTTTTAAACCATCATAATCCTGTAGCCTACCTTTAGTTTGAAATAAAGGTTGGTGAGAAGGTAGTTGACATACAACTCTATTTGGATTTCCATCAGTCAGGATTCCGGAGTATAGAATGGAAACTGAGGTGGTTGTTTATTTGGATAATCTTTGATAGGACTGGGATAGAACAAATACAGTCCTTCTGAATCTGATGGGTTCCTCAATAGCTTTCAATACCAATTCATTTCAAGGGTTATGGCATCCTAGATTGACAGTGAGTGGGACACTATATTGCCATAATTCTTTTTCTTCTTGAAGGACCAGTCCCTGTTGATGATTGGGGGGGGGAGGAGCTCAATTCACTGTTGGGTGCCACATGCTTGGTCCTTTCTCGTCTGACCAGGTATATAAATAATACCTGGAGGCTGGTAGATCAATGGTGGGTTGCTCCCGGATTGGTCCGGTTCTATAGAACCGTTAGTAAAACTGGTGGGAGGCTCCACCCACCCACCATGACTTCATCATGGGTGATCTGCACATGCGCAGAAGCTTCTGCGCATGCACAGAAGTGTGCACACACACGCTCCCATTGCAAACCAGTAGTAAAGGTAAGTAGAACCCACCCCTGCACTGGATAGTAAAAAGAAGCAGCTCAGGGTTATCCCTAGCAAGATAATATAGGCTGTGAATTTAAAGACCAACTGATTCTGGGGTTAGCTCATTTTACTTCTGAATGGGGCTTGCTTCCCATCAAAAAGAAATGGCTTGCAATCAGGGGAAGGGTCTTCTTGTATTCATGGCTCCTCACAGCAGGTGGAAGCTGTAGCCAAGTGAGCATAATTTTGTCTAGTGTACCAAATGTGACCTTGCCTGCAGTAGAAGATATTGGGAAGTTCCAGATCATCTTGTAGCTGGACTATTGTATTTTGATCCACATAGGGCTGTACTTGAAGATAATCTGGAAATTTATGATAATCTGACACAGTATGTGGTAGTTCAGGTAGTAATGGGTTTGCCTAAATTCACTCAGACCCACTATAGGTCTACATTGGCTACTAAGATGCTTCTGGGTAAAATTCAAAATGTTGGCTATTACCTTTTAAAACCCTATATGGATAAGAGCCTGAATACTTGTAAAGACTTGTAAAATGTCCCATTACTGAGTGAACAGAAGTTGAACCCTATCATTGAGAGATCCCTCTTATAAGGAACTGGTGTCCTCCTTATTGAGCTTTTGAGTTGCCCTGAAGATAAATCTCTTCAGGAAAACATTTGGAAATAATGAAGATTGATTGAATGGTGCTATTAGGACAGGGGGTCTCCAAACTTGGCAACTGTAAGACTTGTGGACTTTAACTCTCAGAAAGGTGGCTGAAGAACTCTGGGAGTTGAAGTCCACAAGTCTTAAAGTTGCCAAGTTTGGAGACTCCTGTATTAGGACATAGCATTTTGATTATTATAATTCTATTTTAATGGTTTTTGTTGCTTCATGTGTGCCATTCTAAATCATTTGGCGCTGAATATAATTATATAATTTAGAACAAAGGAGCAGAGTGCAAGGCATAGTATCCAGGTAAGTATTTTTTTCTCCAGATGTGATTTTTTTTCACATGCTGAAAGACTGAGCTGAGTTGTGAATTAAAACTAAACAAATAGTTTGATCAATGAGAATCTAATATATATATATTCTTTTTAGCTTTTCATGAAGTCTTTTAAAGCCAGGCTTTTTGGAGGTTTATTGTCAACTGATTTAGTATGTGTAAATTTTAGAAATTTATTTCATCTTTATTTTAGCCATCATCTGTAATCTTTGTCACAAACAATGTATTCAGAGAATATGCTGGGAAAGAGAATTCAATTCTCATCCATCTCCATTCAGGTTAGGCTGAAGATTTTTGTACATGGTCCACTCCAACGCAGCATCAGATAAGCGTAGTAAAATTGGAGCACTCTAGCTTAGTCATTAATATATGCTAAATTCCAGGGTTTTCCTTATTAAAGACAGCAAACAAAGCTCAGCCTGCACTGAGGTTGATCAGGAGGCATCTTGTGTATGCTCAGAAGCTGACACTCTGTTATGTGATGTCAGAAAAGTGCCTCGATGCTGTCAAACATGCTAGATCTAAAGGTTTGAGATCTCTGATTCAGATTAAACCCCTGCAGAGTATATATGAGAAAGGCTGTTTTTAAAAACAGAAAACCCAGTTCATTAAAAAAAAATGTTTACAGTTCGGGATAGGAAAAATGGGAACAATATTATAGGGATGCTTTCTAATAACAAAGCAGGCCTGGGAGAAGAAGGGGGTGCATCACCAGTAGCTGCCATGAGGTGGCACTAAGCATTCAAGTCTGCATCTTTGGGAAGTCTTTGCGAAGTTAGGTGAAAGGAGGAGTATAGGAGGAGCTGAAGCATTGAAATCATTTTACTCTTGAGACTATAAAAAGGAGGACCTCAGTAACTAATTTATAACAGCAGCAGCCCTGTCCTTTTGGATATGCATTTCTCTTGACATGGCACTTACACCTGCAAATAACCTAAGAAGCTTTGATGATGTAAGAAACAGGGCAAGAGAAACTTCTGAAATCCTGATGAAAACATACGAAATCTGAAGAGAAACAGGATCAGAACAAATAACAGGACTTGGTAAATAGCTAAAATTCTTATCTACTCGCAAATTAAGCCTTTGGGGAATACTGGGATTCTTTGAATATTATTGCTTAGACTAAGAATATAAATATGTTGTCAACCTGAATGGTCTGCGCTGTTTTTGATAATATTGCTGCTGTGTCAAAGAAATTTGAGCTCAAACATCCATAGTGAGGCTAAAATTCTGATGAAACTGATGCATTGTGTTAAAGAATAAGAAAAGCTATATAATACACATTTGAATATCAATATATTATTAAAAGATATGCTGCGAGGAAGCTGACATACAAGTATCATTCTTTCATAGACTGAAAGATCGAGGAAAATATTTAAACCTTTTGCTTTATGGTTTAGTAGACAATTAAAAAGAAAATCACGCTGTGTATAATTTAGAATAGCGAGGCTGATCCATTATGCAGTATTATTTGCTAATCTAGCAATGTTAGCATATTAATATTTCCTCAGATCCATAAAAAAAAACCATCCATCAGTTGAAAGTAGTTGGATTTAGGGGAAAGGAAGGAAATCTTTTTTTGGGGGGATAGACGAGTGGGAGATATATTGATCACCATCATTGCCTTTGGATTCTTGTATTCCATATTTATTCCTTTCTTCCTAACCTTAAGCTCAGAAACAATGTCTTGAGATTCTACTTCCTCTCTTGGTATCAGATTACTTTCGGTCCTTCTCTTTGCAGGAACTTCCGCATTTCTGGAAATTGCCTTTCCAAGGTTATGTTCTGACAAGCCTCTCAGACGGAAAAGACCATCTTAAAAAAGGCATAATTGCTAACAGAGATGAATTTGTCCAACCATCCCAACACGTTAGACTCTAACTTCACTGCTCTTGGGAACAATTTGGCCATTCCCAGCACCGGGACCAATCCATCAACATGTGACCAGGTGGTTATAGCAGCTGAAGTATTTCTCATGCTTGGCATTGTAAGCCTTCTTGAAAACATCCTTGTCATCTGTGCCATATTTAAGAACAAGAACTTACATTCTCCTATGTATTTCTTTGTATGTAGCTTAGCAGTTGCTGACATGTTGGTCAGTGTGTCAAATGCCTGGGAGACGATAACTATATATTTGCTAAACAACAGGCATCTTATTATCGAAGATGTTTTTGTACGTCACATAGATAATGTTTTTGATTCAATGATCTGCATATCTGTGGTGGCTTCCATGTGCAGTTTGCTAGCTATCGCCGTTGACAGGTACATCACCATCTTTTATGCCCTCCGTTATCATAATATCATGACTGTGAGAAGATCGGGACTCATCATTGCATGCATATGGATTTTCTGCACTGGCTGTGGAATCATCTTCATCCTTTATTATGAATCAAAGTACGTAATCATGTGTCTCATCACAATGTTTTTCATAATGTTGTTTCTCATGGTTTCTCTCTATATACACATGTTTCTTTTGGCTCGTACTCATGTTAAGAGGATAGCAGCTTTGCCAGGATATAATTCTGTCCATCAAAGGACTAGCATGAAAGGAGCTATCACTTTGACAATACTACTGGGCATCTTCATTGTATGCTGGGCTCCCTTTTTCCTCCACCTCATCCTGATGATCTCCTGCCCTCAGAATCTCTACTGTGTTTGCTTCATGTCTCATTTCAACATGTACCTCATTCTCATAATGTGCAATTCAGTGATTGATCCCTTGATCTATGCTTTTCGGAGCCAGGAAATGTGGAAGACTTTTAAGGAGATCATATGCTGCTATAGCATAAACATGGTCTGTGGATTACCCAGCAAGTATTAGAAAACAGATATGGATCCCATACTGTAAGAACTTTTGAGAAATAACACTTAGCCTAAATGCAGTTACCTGAAAGCTCATTCAGTGATGCTTATTTGTGAGTAAACATGCATAGGATTGTTAGTTTACAAACTAAATTATTGATTTTATCTTGTTCCTTATGAACTGCTACACTTCTAACTTGTGATCCTTGTTGACAGTCTGTGTGGGAAACGAGCATTTTTTTCGTGTTTGTATTGCCATTTTTGGATGATTTTATCTTCCTTGAGCAAGCATGAATATGGTATGTGTTAATTATTTATAAAGATGCAAACAGTTGTTTGGTTTGGTGGGTATATAGAGTAAATTGTCTTTGTACTGCTAGCAATCCAGATAAGTCTTTTAAACAACCAATACTTAAGAATCACAAAATGTCTTTGCTGAACTCTATGTACAAATGCAATTTGCATATAATTTATAAAGAACTCAGTTATTCATGGGAAAAGAAGCCAAAGTATTAAGAAAAGCACAATAGATTACTCAATGTAAGTACAATAATTTAATATTTGTTTAACATTTTTAAAGATACCTAACTCTATGACTATGGGTCATATAAATTATTTCATATTTACTGCTATCTCTTCTATTGTGTCCTTTTCTTTTTCTTTGAAAAATAGCTAAGAATAACTTGCCCTCTAATATTTATAGGATAGGTGTGTCTTAATTGAATAGTGAGGGTTAAATGGGAATGAATGCTGCAGGTGGTCAGTGGTCTTTGGCTTGATTGTATGTATTTACACCCATTGCTGCTATACTGCTGTTTCTCCTGAATGAACCCTGATGGCGCAGTGGTTAGAATGCAGTATAGCAGGCTAATTCAGCTCACTGCCATGAGTTTGATCTTGACCGACTCAAGGTTGACTCAGCCTTCCATCCTTCAGAGGTTGGTAAAATGAGGACCCAGATTGTTGGGGGCAATATGCTGACTCTGTAAACTGCCTAGAGAGGGCTGTAAAGCACCGTGAAGCAGTATATAAATCTAAGTGCTATTGCTAAGTGCTATGTCATATGTCTGGGATAGACAGCATAGGACAGAATTCATCAAAGTCAATTGAGGCATCTTAAAGCTTCTTCATTGCTTTAGCAAGGAACATCAGATTATTTAGATGCTGCTGTTTATTCGTGGTAAATCCCTATTATTACTACTATTTTTAAAAGCAACAATTTATAATTGTGCTAAAATAAGATGCACCTTTTATTTATCATTCAACAGTCAATTTAAGCATACTTGGCCCAATGACGACCTACTACTTTTAAGTGTGCATTTCCTATTAATTTGAATGTGGGCTTCTTGAGCCAGCATTTACAAAAATGAATTGATTTTCTTTGAAAATAAAGATATTTTGAATATACAAAGTGTTGAACTTTGTCCAACTTTATACATACACTAGAAACAGAGATAGATATGAAGTGTGCCAAAATCAGAAAGGGAAGTAGACTATATTGGGAAAAGTGCTAACATTGGAAGCAAGTCTTTGATTGCAAAAACTATACATTTTATTGGAGATGATGGCGAAGTCTGAATGATGCTGAGATCCAAGCATGATTTATATTGTTTCCCCTAAAAATACATATACATATACATATACATATACATATACATATACATATACACATACATACACATACACATACACATACACATATACATATACATATACATATACATATACATATACACATACACACACACACACACACACATACACATACACATACACATACACATACACATATACATATACATATACATATACATATACATACAGTGTTTTTCTATCGAGACACCTGGTCTATCCCAGCATGTGGGAGGGAGCAGCGAAATATAAATTTGATATAATGTCACATTTAGAATATCTACGTTATGATTAAAGTGAAGCATTTTTATAGTTCTACTGATTTCAGTGATAAAATTAAACACATGGTGATTTCGGTAACAAATTTGATTGGATTTAATGTTGGCTGGATTAATATCCCAGATTTTTAATTGCTCAAGGAAGACAATTTTAAAATCCATTTTCCTATTCATCAGCATGCATTTCACAGTCAGCTTAACTGACTAGGATGTTGCTAGATTTGCAGTTGTTCCAAGGTCAATGTTCAGAAATAAGTTCTATTTTCTTCTAAGAAATGTACAGCAAGTTCCACTGTTATCCTTGGATGTCATTTCAGAAAAATGTGGATCAACAACTTGTAGAATTAATACACTTATTGTTGAATAAGTCACAAATGTTTTTCCTTAAAAACAATGTAGTAATTGCCAGATGTTGGCATGGCAAATAAGTGTTATCTAATAATTGCTTAGTAGGTTGTGGGAATGTGTAGATATAACACATGTTGGTTATAGTATTCCAAGACACTAATTAGCAAGCTAATTAAATATGGGATAATATGACAATAAATGAATGCCTTCACTGGTCATGTTCAAACAGCAGCTAGACATTAATACATTCTTCTTCTTCTTGTGCCATATCTGACATCAGACGTTGATGATCATGTTGGCAATCCTATTTTTATCAAGAGCCGCATGAAAAAGTGCTGTTGAGTTTTGTCCAAACCAGTCCCTGATAATACATTGGTCTGTTTTAATTCTGGTTCCTATTCTAAGCAGAGGGCAATATACGATAGAGGGTCACCCAAGTCTATGATTCCATTTTTTGTTGAAAATACACCAAGTCCTGTAGGAAATGTAATACATCTGTAAGATATTTTTCTGATTATAAATTTTAATGTAACAAATTACCTATTTTATAATTTGCATTTGAAATATTCTTTTAGTTTTAATGCAGAAAGGTAAGGTAAATTTAGAAGAAAGTTTTGCAACTCTACAGAAGTTCTTATTGGAAACTGTTTTATTCAAATCTCCTTTCAATGAAACATTTGGTTGAAAACAAAAAATATGAACGAAGTATTACCAAAAAGTACAATTAAAAATTTAATTGTACTTAAATGAGCAAAGAAATACAATGTTTTAACAGTATATATAACATATATAGGTTCACTCAGATTCAGTAACTTTTTATGTACTGTATATCTCCTAATGTGTTTGTGATACTGAAATGCAATAGAAGCAGGTGGATTACAGTCTATTCATATTTTCAGCCTTAAGACCATATGTAATAATATTATTTTTTTTCCCGATGGTACCCCAAGATTATGAATGAAATACATTCCCATAAAAGCAGAATTATCCTACAATGTTCAGCATGGCTGGAAATTTGAGGAATAGCAGTTCCAACTTATTTGCCTAGGAAAAGCTGCTATAAGTGATTCTTCAGATTCAGTTTGCTTTTAAATAGATTACCATATCCAATTACTGACTTAATGAAGGATTTTGAATAGTCTTGTTTTGTTGAAATGTAACTCTTATTGAAATGATTGCATTATCTCAAGCCCTACTCTGAAAAGGAAATTATATACTGCTATGCAAATAAATACTTTGTGTTGTAGTAAATTTCATTATAGGATGAAGATTGAAGAATTTATAATAATACAGTAATGTCTCAAACAGAAGGCATTATTTGAGTTGTTGTAAAAGGAAACCATGCATACTCAAAGGCTATTCAATTTTCATGTGATATGGACTATGTTGTAAATTGGAATTGCCACATGGGAAATGTGAAGCTGTATAAATTTGCTGAATGTATGTTGGTTAATTTTTTTGGAATTTTACTTGAAATAAACATGCAGGCATTTGAGCTAATAATTAAAATAATTGGAATGGAATTACTTCTGATTTGCATTATTTTGCCTGATCAAGGATGGCTCCTCTTAAAGTCACTGGTAAACAAGTTTTTAAAATTTCATTTTCAAATTTTAGTAAAATGTCTGTGAGGAGTAAAATTTCAAACTTTCTTGGTTCAATTTAAATACATGCGGTAAATGGATCCATTGATTTTGGGTTTCATTCCTGAATACAAAGAAATAATTATTAAAAATCACATAACAAATTAGAAATCAGAAAGTATAAATTGACCAAAGATTGGTTAACAATAACAATAGAATTTAAACACATGGAAATATAGGTACTCCTGGTCAAACTGTATGCTTTACCGAATCCCTAAATGAACAGAACACTCCCTGCCTAAATCTTAAATGCAAAATTTTCTTGCAGTTTTGAATGCAGATTCACTATTTACGTGCACTTGACTTCTTAACGACTTCACAATTAAAAAAAATGCAAATATAGAAAGCAGAATCTGGGATACTATTTTTAGTTAGGGGTAGTCCTCAATTAATGCTGGCAATTGGGACCAGAATTATCATTGCTAAGTGATGTGGTTGTAAAAACAATGTCATGTGACAACACCAGTTATCGATAGCACTTCCAGCACTTCCAGTTGCTGTTAAGTGAATCACTGTGGGTTGTTAAGTGAGGATGTCACATGGTTGCCATTTATAACCTTCTACCGTCTTCCTCATTGACTTTGCTTGTGGGAAACTGGTGGTGGTGGTGGGGGGTTTGCAAATGGTGATCATGGGTTTCTTTAATCATTGTAAGTGTGAGCCAGTTGCCAAATGTCCAGATTATAATCATGTGATTGCAGGGGTACTGCAATAGCCAAAACCACAAGGAGTAGTCGTAAATACCACACGTTCCACATTGTTGTAAGTTTGAATGGCTGCTGAATGAGTGATCAGTAAGCAAGGAGTGTCTGAAATACAAATAAGCCTCGTCTTATGATCACAACTGAGCCCAAAATTTCTGTCGCTAAGTGAGACAATTGTTAAGTGAATTTCTTCCCATTCCCCCCACCTTTCTTGCCACAGTTGTTAAGTGAATTATTGCAGTTGCTAAGTTACTAACAGGGTTGTTGAGCAAATCTGGCTCCCCCATTGATTTTGCTTTCAGAAGGTCACAAAAGGCCCTGAAGGTCACATGACCCCGGGACATAGCAACTGTCATAAATATGAACCAGGTGCCAGCATCCAAATTTTCACCAAGTGACCATGGGGATGCTGCAATGGTCATAAGTGTGGAAAACAATCATAAGTCACATTTTTCAGTGATCTAACTTTGAACGGTCACTAAAGGAACAGTTGTAAGTCAAGGACTACTTATACTTTCTAAAAGCTTCACTGTTTGAGATTTCCTCACAAATGTTATTTGCAACTGGGATCTACAAAGGCCATTTACAAACCTCTCCTTTTCTTCCTGTAAGTATTTCAAGGCTGATTTGGAAGTAGGTTTTAGATTGCGTATTGCTGAACTATTTAGCCTCTTTCCAGCTTCAATTCCTTCTCTGAGTAGAACAGGGGTGTGAAACTTGTTGCCTGTGGGCTGGATGCGTCATGCACTAGCCACCCCCACCCCCATTTTAACAAAGAGGAAAAAAGTCACAATACGTCATATGACGACAACCTGATGATGCAAGTTTGACACCCCCGGACTAGAAGATTAGCTTTGAGAATATGTTGGTATTTAGTTGAAATCATGTAGTTTTTGCACCCATACAAAATGCTTTTAATGTTATTGACTGCCACATAACCACCAACATAATAGAGCCCCATCAAAATTTTAAAATATTCTACTCGTTGAATGCTACTTTTTTTGTCTCCAAAAAAATTGATAATCTT